TGGCATGCAACCTGATGTCCCACAGTCAAATGACATCAACATCCCTGCTTTGTGTTAAGTTCTCTATCACATTAATGAGGCACTCCACCTAACTGCATCTCAGCACCATTGGAAAGCACAGAAACTGCATCGTTAATTCTAATATTAAACAATTAAACAATTCAGCAAGGGAATTTGTTTAAATTACTTCCCCCATCTGATCAACGTGAAACTCTACATTGTGAGGAGTGATCAAAATGTAAAGATGTACCTGGTGTTTAAAAGGGCATATGTCCAACATTAAATATATGAATAAAATGAATAAATAATAAATTACTTTTGAGGCATATGCAGCTGTGCCACTGTCTTTCCAGTACTCCTTCTGAATCCAGATCTCCAGTCTACCCTAAAACATTTCCATGCCAGAAGAATAGGAACAAAAGGCAGCCATCAAAATCAGTTGATTTGATGAGCAGTTGTTTCTTTTAATTAAAAATAATAATTTAGTGTGAATTCCAAGAGAGCACTGAAAAATCTGCCTTTCAGTCCTATTTGAACTGTGGGGAAGCTCTCTTCTGTAAAAGTATGGAGACGGAAATGGTTAGTTAGTAACTGCCAGTATTGACTAAATAGTTTTCCTTCCTAGCCCACCTTCTGGAATCTTTTCCTATTAATAAGAAGAAAAAGTGGTCTTCATGACAGTCTGAAAACTGGAGTCTGAAAACATTCTCAAATGAAACACAAGTTTGCCCGAGGATGGCGTGGGACGAGCGTGGGATTTGTTTCCACTCAGAGGAAACACACTGGCTTCTTCTCAGCTATGTTTTATTAATTTGGTAATGGCTTGGGGAACTTGGAGCTCTTTTAAGTGAGATGCAAGTGGTGCAGATTGGGGTGGGCTCCCCCCTTTGGAGCAGTACTGCTTCCTGGGGGGATAATGAGGATGCAGGATTTGGTGTTCCTGCTCCAGCAGGAGATGTCTGAGATCATTGTGGGTAGAGCAGCCCGTGTTTCCAGTGCACACCCTCAATACATCTCCCCTTCTGTCCTTGGTAGCGATCCAACCAGGTAGAGCCTCCATTTGTGCCCCTGGCAGTCAGGATTTTATCTTTTTTGGTCTATGTGACGTTGATTTAAATTCCTTCTGAAAAATCCGTGTCACCCAGAAGATGCTCAATTATGACAATAGGGGTGGAGCAGCATAGAGCCACAGAATCAGCATCAGAGTTGGTCTTGAAGACATAGTTTTGGTGACACAGTGAAACTTTGGAGTCCCCTACTATGAAAGGACTTCAGTAAGTCATAATACAACGCTGCTTTGTCTATAAAATGTCCACGGCTGCAGCCTCACGTGAGGCTTTCTGTATGTTCTGTACTGAAAAGCAAGGCAATGATTTAATGCCTCCAAATTTACAGTGAGTTCAGTGTGCTATCAGTGGGAATAAATTGCTGATCAAAAGGGAGATTTTAAAAGGAATTTGTCAGTGTCGTGCTCATAAGCTGTTTTGCAATGTGCCGAAGCACAGTTTGACATTTGCAGCTGGTTAACTGCGTGCTTTCAATTATTTCCCATTCCCATCTTTGATCCAGAAAAACGATGGAGTGGTTTCTGGCCAAGAAGTGGTGGCACTGCTGCAGGAGGGCACACAGTAAGACGCGGCCATGCAATTCTGCTTCCCTCTGCTGGAGCTGGAGCAGCAGCTGTGAGCCAGGGCAGGGCTGAAGGGGTCTGCCTGGGGAAGGCACTTCTGCACACATATTGGGGCATGGAGCAGTTTTTGAGTTCCTGCTCAAATTTTGGGGTTCCTTTCTCAGGCACCCTCTGCATACACCACATTGCCATGGGTGCCTCCCTCTTCGTGTCTTAGCTTTGAGGCCAGTCCTTTCCAACTTAGTTATAATACGCTGCATCCAGTTCTCCTTACAGAAAGTTGGAATTGCCCTAAGAAAAGCAAAAAATTCACTTTTCAGCATGAGAATAACTGCAGTTTTAATATAGCCTGTCACTCATCGCTGCTTAACAAATGCACTGGTAATGCTTTTCCAATTGCCACTTTCTTAATTTTGATGGGTTTTGGAAACAGAAGTGGGTTTTCCCTTTGGAGTTTCACAATTAATCTACGCCAAGTTTAGTGCAAAGTTCAATTCTCTTGCAAATAGCAGCCATTATTTGGCAGTTCATCTGTCATATCCTGGCTTGGATCCCCATGTTTACTATGAAATATGACTGCCAGCAACACTTTGGGAATTATTTAAAGTTTACATTGATTAAAAGGAGATATTTGAAAAAAAAAATCTGCAGAATCTTACCTCTGGCTCAGTGGTTTACCTCTGCTGAGCAGTACTGACAAAAAGCAGTGTTATTTCCTCAGTTATGCACTGAATGCATATTTAATATTTGAAAATGTTGTACTGTATTAACAATTAAGAAGTGATAATTGCAGCTAATAATATAAGCAATTAAGTGGTGGTGGCAAAATAATTATTATTACTAATATGAATTACAATTAAAGTGTAAACTGTGGACACGAGAAGCCCATGTTGATACAGGGAACAACAGGAGTGCTTTCTCACCTGGCCTGGGTGCACAGGCACCTCTCAGCTTTCTATGTTCATTCTCAGTCTTGCTTGCAAAAGAATAATTTGATGTTTGGTATTCTTAAATTTACCAAAATTAAATCATGTGCATGGGCTTGGAACAGAAGCTAGGATGAAATACTGATGAAGAAATTTCTCTCTTATTTGTTAGCCTTTAGAATGTTCTGAATGTTTTATCGTTTACTTCTATTAAAGAGATTTAAACAGCTGGGTTTCCTCCATGCAAGGATTCCATTTCAGCAGTAGTTTCAGTTCTGTTTTTCTTTGTCCTCTGACTTTCTGTGCTGTGCCCAGAAGATGTGATTTTGTGTATAGAGGATAATAAGGTATATCATAGGCACAACATAGTGCCTGTTAAAAACACTTTATATATACATATTGTTTCCCTCTATGTCATTACATTATACTCATAAATGCCACTTATGTCATGTATTAAACAGAACTATAAAGATCTCCTTACTCAGCATCATTAGGAGCTGTGATTTGTGTCCTTCTTAGCAACAGACGTGCTAACAAAAAGAATGTTTAAGGATATATGTTTGAAAGGCAACAAGTTTCCAATGAGTTCTGTTTGTAAACACAAAATTAAGGCACAATTTCACTTGAAAAGGTGCTTCAAATTGTTTGACAGGCATACATATGGTCGAAGTCAGGTCATCAGATAAACATTTACTAAGGCAACGTTCCCATGACCCCACACCCCTTGGCTGTATCACTAATAAATAATGAAGGAGACGTTCTCTGGAGCGTTTTGAATGCCACTCCATTTAGGTTGCCTGTGTTTACAACATAAATGTGGTTGTTAGCAGTTTGCATTTCGTATCTCAGGCTGTGTAATAAGCAGAGCTATTGAAATCCAGTGTCAATTTGAATTCTTGATGGAAGATCTGTACTGCTTACCTGGATTACAGCCACGTTCTATGTGTGCAGTGACAACTACCGCTTATAGATTCATGTTAAAGCTTAGAATCAGAGCAGAAAAGAACGACACAGAAGTGCTTACCAAAGCAGGCAAACAAAAAACCTTCACAAAGTATCACAATACTTCATTATGAAGGCAAGATTTTGCCTTTTCATAGTCATACGTTCAATATGTTCAATAAAATTACCGCTGGGAGTTCCCAAATTTCTCGAGAAAGCGCTCATAGCAGAAGAGCCTTATGTTTCTGAGGAAAGAGTTGGCAACTTTTCCATTTTGTATAATGTGTGCTTTCCTTTGATTCATCCTGAAAGCTTTTCTTGGCAAGTTGCTAGCTTAGTTTGGTTTTGATGACAATTTAATAATTCTTTTCTACTATGGAGCTGTATTAATACCAATATAAACTGTAAGCAGAAGAAAACTCTCTGAGCCCTCATTTTGCACTTGTATTTGTTGGGATGTTTTAATGCATGGAAGACCTGGTACTGCATCGCTTCCATTCCCTGCCAATGCGTGAGGCTGTGAAAGTCCAAAGGAAAAAAGAATGTTTGCAAAGATTGGTTTCAGTCTTGGTTGTATTTTTTTTTCAATGGAGAAGAACTGCAGCTCTTCCCAGATCTGATGAGGATTGTGCTGCAACTGCTTTGACTGAAATGCAGAGCTAAATTGTGCTTCCCAAATTTGTGTCAAAGCATATAGGTGGTGCTGGAGGCAGTCTGAAGGATATCCAAATGTATGTTCTCAGTTCTCTGAAGGGGATCTCATCCATTGGAGGGACAGCAGACGGATTTGGACCTATCTTCAGTGTTTGTTTTTAAGGGATTTGGGTGCATTCCATTTCACTAGCCCTAAATTAAAAACCAATTCCAAGCTGCTGGTGGCCTTAAAATGTCCTCACTATAAATTTCTCTGCTGGAAAATCAGGCAGGAATAGCAGTCTCTGTAAAATATTTACTGTGTGCCAAGTTAGAATTTGTTCTCTTTCATCTGCAATAATGTAAGTGATAAATTTGCAGCGTTTCAAGATGATCCCATCTTAAACATCCTGGTTTTACAGTCATTTTACTGCATTTCAGATCAGCCCCTTAACAAACTGCTGCTTCTCTTCTGCCATATTTTGTGTCGTCATTGAAGAGCAGTGATGATAGACTGTAAATAAACAGATGATAGATGACAGTCCAGCCACAGGAGGAATGCCGTCATTGTGTTTTATGTTTGTGTACAGTCAGTAAATGGCAGTTTTAGTGTAGATGAATCATAGGAACAAGCCTCAGCTCGCTAAACTGACATATTCTTTCTGACAAAACCAAAGCAAAAGAAATTTAAGAGCTGAGCACTAAAACTGTGGCCAGTATATCAACAGACTTGTCGGGGTTATGAATAAGATACATGCTGGTATATATTTTTTGCCAGAGTTGGAGGATTTTCAGTATTTGAAGTGCTACATTAAAGATACTCCAATCTTATTTCTTACGACTCACGTATCTTTTTGTTTATCCTGTAGGACCCCAGGAGCAAGCACAAATTTAAGATCCACACCTATGGGAGCCCAACCTTCTGTGACCACTGTGGGTCCCTTCTTTATGGGCTCCTACACCAAGGGATGAAATGTGACAGTAAGTTCAGTTTTGCTTTGTTACCAAACCGTATTTTTAAAAGCATGTGGAAACACCTCATAGCAACTTCTTTGTTTCAATGGAAAATACCACTTCAAATGTCAGCTATTTATAGGACTGTTGTATTTCAAGTGGATATTTCGGTCGAATAATAATAATCTAATGAATACCTCTTCCATTGCTGCAAAAGTGCTGTATGGACTTTGATATGAGAGGAGTGCGTTTGCTGTTGCTTTTGAGGAAACCTGTTTCAGGAGTGGGTGGATGAACACGCAGTTGAAAACTGGCATTCCAGTTGATGTGGCAGCCAAGATCCAGTATTTCCCTTGTGTTTCATTTGTCTTGGAAGTCTGCTGCACCAAAATCTAATGATTGACTTAAACCCAAATCCCTTCATGGCTACTGCTGGCAGAAGTGCTCTGTTTTCTCAGGCAGATTCCCAGCAAGTCTTTATTCTGTTTTTACATTTTTTCTTGCACTTCATTAATATATTGAAGTGTCTGAAGTGCATTATTTTCTTCAGTGTTTCATTCACTGTCCACAAAATGTATTGCAGGATGGAAACTAGCCATGTAGGTCAGTCAGAAAACATTTGGCTGTAATCTGCAAACGTTGCCAGCAATTAGACATAGTAATCTTAACTTTCACTCTGCTCAGTGTTTGCTGCGGAATCATATTATTAGTTACTCACAGCTGTCTGAAACACTTCTATATCCACAGCTTGTGATATGAATGTGCATAAGCAATGTGTGATAAACGTCCCGAGCCTCTGTGGCATGGATCACACTGAGAAAAGGGGAAGGATTTATCTGAAGGCTGAAGTCACTGGTGACAAACTGGAAGTAACAGGTAAACGACTTGTTTTGAAACGTGGCAGGATTTTTAAAGGTGTTGTTTATACTGTGAGCTGATGTGCTTTGGTCAACATCTTTGGGCACTGAAGCCCTTGGCAGAGTGTTTCCTTTTGGGAGCATGAGGATTTCATTCACTGCGTCTTTGAATCCAGGAACATTTTGAATCAAGAAATGCTCTATGAGCTGGCATTCTGAGCAATCCACACGCTTAAAAAAATAAAGTGAAAATGTAAAGGTGGAATAAATGCTTTAAAAAAAATCAGGAATGTTCATTAGAAAATGGCTGTCATGTCTGTTTTCCTTGTAGGAAGCAGCACAGTGGGATAGCTGACCCTTTAGGAAGCTAGCCATCATCTTCAGAACATGAGAAATGCTCCAAACTTCATCAGTTAAGGAGGGATTTCCTGTATTTCGGAGTATTTAGTAAACAAAGGAACTTGGACTCGATCCCAAATATTACTCCCAGTGTATTATAAAGTAGTAATAATAAAAAGATCGCATTCTGTGAGGTTAAGATTAACAAGATAGGGAGAAGGGAGAGAAAGGAAGGAAGGAGAGGGCAGCAGTTCTTTTCCTTGGAAGTGCTTCTCCCAGGGTTTATCAGTAAGCTTTGGTTCCTCTCACCCACACACCCTGTCTCATCCCCAGTTGAAGCTGCAGAAAAACATACAGAAAATATATTTTGCAAGTTGAAGGACCATTTTGTCCCCCTACATTGATGTGCTGCCTACCTCAAGCAGAACTTCCTTCTTTCGTTATCAGAGAGCAGAGTTTATCACTCAGGATCCGCTTAAGAATTTGTGTTTACAGCCTATGTTTTGTTTGCTCTGTGCATGCTTTCTGCTTAACTGGGGTCAGCTGATAATTGGTTCTATTATCTCTAATAAGTGCAAAGCTGGTAGTGAACTTTACTGTTGGTTTTTCCTTTCTTTTGGACACTAATACTGTGCTTTGCCCATTGGGCTGCAAAGTATTTTTTCAGAGGGAGAGTACAGGGTGGGAACTGGATGAAATTGACGTAAGGGAATTAGATCAAACCAAGTCTGTTTAATCTAAATTCAAGACGAAAGTAGAATTTCTTTTGACTCAGAATTCTCTTTCAGGAAATATTAAAGACATGCTGAAGTTATCAAAAACAAAATAAAGGATGAGCTATCGTGTCATGGCAGGTGACCAACACTGCTCCTTCAGAAATGCATCTTAACACACTGCAGTGCTTATTACGTGTACACAAATACATCTTGGAAATTGGTTTTGTGAGCAGCTGAATTCACAAAGTCCACACACTGAAGCAGGAACTCAGAACACTGTTGTTTCACGGCCTGTTTGGTGTTGCAAATTCAAGGCCAAAGTTATGGCAGGACAAAGTAGAAGGTTTCCCAAAGCATCTGCTTTTCTGTCTTTATTTCTTGATGTGGTTGTTGGCAATCTGTGGATGTTTCCTTGTGTCAGCATTGCTGATTTCTTACACTTAGAGCCCGACCTTTGGTTAGCCCTGAAGTGGTCAGGCAGTCGGACTGATGATATCTGTAGGTCCCTTCCACTTGAATGGTTCTTTTCTACACCAGAAAGATGTTCTTTCTACCTCCACACTTCTTATTTGCGGAGTGAATCACAAAAGGTACCATACCCCCTGTAGTCAGCATAAAGGAAATCAGGCCATCACGATGGATTTTCGCAGCTCACAGAAGCATTGAACTTCCCTTCTGTCACTGTTCATGCTTTTGTTATCTCTGCATCTGAATAACTCCAGATTCTTCTGTCAAACCTTGTAAAAAGCATTGAAAGGGAGAGGCATGATCGAATTTAGTTAGAAAGGATTAGAATAGATCCCAAGTGGTACTAGTAGCTAACTTTTCAGATAGCTTCCTGTTGTGTAGGAGAGGTGAACGTGTCCAAGATGCTGTCATTAGGAGAAAGGTGCTTTCACCTTTTGGTGTGAGTGCGCTTGGCAAATGCTTTTATTTGTGTGCTTGTAGATAAAATACTTCCATCCAAAATTTAAAAAGGTTTCTGGACAACAAGAAGAATTTTTATGACAACCTTGTTGTAATAAGCACATTAAGGTGCTGTTTTGTTCTTATGACTGGGGCTGTGTTCTCTGTCTTACGTTCATATGGTTGAAGCTATGTTCTCTATGTTACATTCTCAGGGTTGGCATTTCCAAGGTTTCCAAAAATTTCTTTAAATATAAATGGATTTCCCTGAAAGTACACTTTTTTTTTTCTTTTCTTTTTAAATTATAAATGATACTATACAAATGTACTTATATATGCTGTGGTCAGACAAGCTGAGGCTTTTGTGCATGCTCAGCAGCAAGACAAATTAGTGGGCTTCAGTTGGTTCACGTATGCTGCTAACCCCAAATTTCTAACTCAGTGTATCTCTTACTACAGCATCTCTTCTGAAATATTTACTGGCAAAACGTCTGCAGATCCCACAGCTGCCTTTAGATTCAGGAAGGGGCTGGATTACATGTCCAGGATGTATAGAAACTGCTCTGGGGTTTGAGCCTTTGCCGGATTCTTCTTCAAAAGAATGTCTCTGTAGGTGTTGAACTCCTTCGGCTGAATTCCTTAATATCTCTGCTCTGCATCCTGTTTTGGCTGTTAATTGGTTCCTGCTGAGCTCGTGTTCCTGCAGCCAGCCTTGACTGCCTGCAGAACAGTCATGCTGTTCCATGCAGACGTGGCACTCCGGTGGGCATCTTGCAGTTCCTTCTGTGGGCGGCTCCGCTTCCTTACTGGGAGGAAGGAGGGTGCCATGCACTGAGCGGCGATGGAGAGCTCTGTGCCTTGGGGAAAGTCACTGCTTGGTGCATAGCAAGTGGTGTTTGCTTCTGTGTAACAGCTCAGAAGGCGTTGCAGTAGCTTTTCTTTCCAAAAAGGGCCACAGTACATGCACGTTTACTGAGTATTTTCACAATAAAATAGGGTAAATAATGTTGTTGGGTTTTTTTTTTACCCATTGAGTACTAGGAAAGAGGCCAGATGGAGCTTACCAGTGGTTCAGCCAGATTATCTAAGATATCAGAGCATTTGGGCAAGTTTTGAATTCAACTGATCCTGGAAATGATTCAGTCCTATACATAAATGCATTTAATGCTGGTGTGCTTCCTTGTGTACTTCCAGTGCACTTCAGATCTTTGGTGTGGGTGCTTAAAGGTGGACAGGCAGTCCTTTCTGCATCAGTGCTACAGACTAGGAGTGGGAGTTTTGTATTGATATCCTCTGACAAAATCTCACCACCTCCCCAGTGCCATTTTCAGTGCTCATTTATGTGGCAGTTCTTAAATATCAGCAGTTCATTTTATACCTACTACCTTGAGAGTTGGCTTTGGATATTAATACGTTATTGCAATTGCTGTAAATCAACTTGTCGTAGGAACTCTCTTAATTGCTTTTTCTTTGACATCACTGAATTTGTGACCCTTCATAGAATGGACTGTTGGGATTTTGCTTTTAGGCATAGTAAAGCTGTTTCTGCCACTCTTAATCTCTGGTGGTTTGCATTGAAATTTCCCCTTCCTGGTGTGTGCTACCAGTTTTGTCAGCCTTACATTTACCTGCCAACCCACCATGTAACCTGGGTTCCTTCTGAGCAGTTTTACAGGTGGCTGAACAGCCGTTTTGATCTTTATTTTATTTTTCAATTATTTTTATAGCGAGCAAACAATAACCTCTGTGAGAAAATAACCCCATCTGGCGCAGTGACATATAAAAAGCCACCACGCTGTTGGGATCCCAGGAGCTGGGTCTGACAGCAGCTGCCCTCCCAGCAGCAGTGAGCTGCAGGTGATGCTGAGGGCAGGGTGCCACGATGCTGCCAGCCACGGCACCTCACCGTTATCAGTTATTAAAATATTTGTATATACACACTGCACAGAGCTCCCGGGTTCCTAAGTGTATTTTTCAGAGCTGAAAGAATACAGAAAATGTGGTTTTGTTCTTCTGTGATGTTTCTGTGATTTAAAAGAAGAAACCTGGCCGTTATTTCTGGAGGCTGGGAGTGCAGTGGGCTCCAGCTATCACCTCCCCAGGAGTTCTGCACTCCCTGCTGGATGTATTTCAAATTATTTATGAATGTCTGATGCTGAGCTGCTCTATGGCACTGCATATTAATGTCCCATCGTGCTGCTTGCCACGGAGACCTGGCTGAGCAGCCTCTGCCCAAAGAGGAGAACTGGAGAGTTGCTGCAAATCACCAGACGTTCACCAATTGTTTCCTTGAAAGACTCCTCCACACACACTCTCCTAATTTCATCTGTGTTTGCCTAGGTTATTAACAGTGTCTTTCTTTGTTAGCATTAATTTCATAACATTCTGCAGCTGATTTTAAAAGGAAGACACGTGAATGTTCAGGAGAGTTATCAGCTGTTACGTGAAGTCCCTATAAAGTGATCCCAAATAATTGCTGGTGTGTGGGAGGCATTTTTAATAACTCAAATAAGAATGGCATGTTTTACCTCACCAATACCTTCTGTGTTCTGTGGCATTCCCTGAACCTGAAGGGTTGCTGTGCTGCTTGCACAGAGGGCAGTGCCTTTCATAAATGCCAACCCCTGTAGCAAATGACTGTTTGCCATTTCAGTCATTTTCTTTCCCATGAAAAAACAGTAAATGCATACTATGGAAAAGAAGCATTCATTGTTCATAGATAGCCATCTGCATGCATGTAAAAAAAAACCCTAAAATGCTATGTATTTGCAGAAGGATTTGAACAAATCTGTATTAGAAATTTAATAATCAACCCCTTTTTAGACAATTTGATATGGCAGTAGTCGGTGTTTGTGTTAAGGCTTGTGTTTTATTATGTAGTTATACTGCCCAGTACTCGGTATTCTTTTATGAAGGTAATTTTTATAGAGGTAATCTGATTTTAAACATAAAGCACAGATGCCCCTATGAAGTTTCCAGCTGGAAATGAAAGCAGAAAACCTACTGCAGGTCTCATTAAGTAGCATTAGAGTTGATGGTACCCTTTTATTAGTAGGAGAGACTGTCTTAATAAAAGACAGAGGAATGAAGCATGATGGAACACCAGTTCATTTTTCATCTTGTTCTCAGGAGGAAATTAATTCCTTATCCATTTCTTGTGTGTAAGTCACCTGTGAAACACAGGCATCCCTGCAGCCTACATTCATTATGGTGGCATCTATGGGAGTCAGGAAACTGGGAGTAATGAGCAGGCAGGGGTCTCAGGAGAGGTACATAAGAAATTTAGCTGGGGTATGGTTATGCAAAAGAGAAGCCTCATATTGAGAAGCCGTTTTAGTGGCCAAGCACTGTGTGGAAATGAACAGCAGGATTTGGGGGGATTCAGTTGTACATCTGTAATTGTAATTCACTGGAGTTTTAATGCTGGAAGACAGAACTCTGAGCTAACAGTGTTCTCCCTCTTCTTTTGCTTCACTGGAGAGCTTCCCAGGCAGGACTGTTTGAGACTCAAGACCTCTTTCAAAAGCATCTATTTGCATTCACTGAGAGATTTCTGCTCCTCTAAGCAGCCTGTAGGAAGCGAGAGATTGGCAAGCAACAGTTGCTGTGATTAGTAAATCATTTTATCATCAACATTTGAAAATTCAAGGAAAAGGTAGTTGTGACTCATGAAAAGGAACTGAGTGAACTCGAGCTGCAAATAGCTCTGCTTTGTTTTAGGGACAGAAGCATTTCTTTGCTCATTCCTGTGGCTAAATCTATTTGCTGGCACCACAAGAAGTTATAAATCCATAACTGTGTATTGTTTATGATGTTTGACCCATACATTCCATGAAAAAAGTCCACATGTTGTCATCCAAACTCTGAAGTACTGCCTGAATTTCCTCTCTTCACACGGAGTGACTGTTGTTCTCTGCCATCCCACTCTGTCTTCTTTAGATATTTGTTTAAAGTATGAGTACCTAAGAACCAGCTCTGTGTTTGCTTATGTCGTTACACTACTGGAAAACTGAATATCCCAATTTTAGGCACAGCTTCTGGAGGCACCGCTGTGATAGCAGGGACACGTCATCGAATGGAAGAGTCATCAAGCAGCCCGTATTTTCTGCTGACTAGGCACTTATGATCTCTTCTTCATTAATGATAAGGAGGAAGGTCCTCCTTATCCTCGTGGCATGGTGACAACACGGGCACACTTGATTTGTTGGAAACTTGAGCATATGCTTCTCTTCACTCCCTGTTCGTCTGTGTGTTCTCAGTCGCAGCTGAAGAATCTAATCTGGACAGGTCATTAGGGATTTAACTCATACCAGCTACCTTGCTCAGTGCAGAGATCATCATCGTGCTCAGTATTTGACAGAAAACTGGCAGGTGGTATCCTGTGTTTCGTTCCGAGTTCCTCTCGCTGAGTTTAATTAACTAATAATTGTAAAGCAACAAGAGTTTGCTTGTTTTCCTTGCAGATGCAGCAGAATTTTCTGCTGTAATTCAGCCTCAGCTCAGTTATTTTCTTGGAGTTATTTTTCATTTAATTTTGTTTCAACCACACAGGAGAGAGAGCACCTGTGATGGAAAGGGGGCACCTCTGCTTCCTGCCATCCCTCTTGTGGAAAGCTGACCTGTCTTGGTAAGAGTAGGATGCCCTCAAAGGATGGGCTGACCATCAAGACATTAATTCCTTATAAATGATATTTAGCAAAATGTCATCATGCCATTTCCTCAAGAAAAAGTGCTACCAGTTGGAGATAGACGTCTAAGGGTGCTAATTACACAAAAATACAAATGGCCCAAATAAGGAGCGAGATGACGACTACTTCAGCAGCCTGTATTTAGTGTATGTTGCGTCTTTCTTTCCAAGTGCATCTTTTGAGCTGCACTTCTTTTTGTGTTGAAAGGGCTTTTGCCTTATTCTGTGTCTCTTATAAAAGAGGAGCAGCCTCACACATGCAGTGGTGGTGTTTCCCAGGCTCAGCAGCACGATCCTTCATACAGACTCCGATCCTTGTCAGCCCGACTGGTTTGGGTGGGACAGCATTTCACAACGCCTGAAATCCAGCTTGTTTGTGAACTTCTGCAGAAGCTGATGGCAGAATGCCATTGACACATAATAAAACCTTACACGCAGTGCATATAAATGTCGTGTGAGCGTCATGCTGGTCCTCTGCAAGATGGAGGGAAGTGCTGCCTTGCTCACGCATTGTGATACTCCACTCATCTGCAGTGACTTCTGAGCTGCCCTGCAAAGCCCCAGAGCTGTGGCAGCAACCTCAGCCAGAGCCCCAAACACCGCTGAGCCATTGATAAAGGCGGTCATAGCCCACCGTTCCTCTGCTCCTTGTTCTGCACAGAGATGTGGCCACGTGGGGAATGTCCCACAGGCAGGTTGCTGGCCATCCTTGTCTCTGGGCATCAGTAGCAACATGAGGGTTATGAGCTCACTTTGTGCTCTCTTCTGCCATTGTGAAAATAGATAAATATGGAAGTTGTATATGAAAATACCATTTTTGTGAAGGCAAAGTTAAACTCGTCTTCCCTGTGCTTTACTTTGGGTGCCATCTCGTGACAACTCTCACAGCGATTCCAGCTGACAGCTAACGAGCAGTGAATCCAAGGGAAGTTTAGTACCAATAACATGTTGTATAAAATAGCCATTCTTGGAAATCTGTTCTGATCCAACTATCACCCTTATAGCATCCGTCTGATAGCTGTGGAAGCTAAGTTTGATGAGTAAATAAAAGCACACAGAAATGCTCCCTGCTTAGAAATGTATTGAGATGAGCTCAGATGTTTAATTATTCCATTCCAGGAAAGAGCTGCCCAGGAGCTGCTTCATTCCATTTAGGATGGCTCTCATCTCCTGTCACTTCTCTCTGCCAGCCTTACAAATACCACCAAGTGCAACCTTACTTTACTATTTTCTTCCATGCCAAGTCTGACCATGCAGGTTTTTCATCTTATTTGTGTTACCTTTCAACATATTTCTTTCGATTTGGTTTGACTTGTTACTATGTTGTTAACAGTGATTTTTAATCCCATGCAAATCAGCAATTTGTTTTATATTGACAGTGCGAGAAGCAAAAAACCTAATTCCCATGGATCCAAATGGGCTTTCAGATCCTTATGTTAAACTGAAACTTATCCCAGATCCCAAGAATGAAAGTAAACAAAAAACAAAAACCTTCCGTTCTACCCTGAATCCACACTGGAATGAATCATTCACATTGTAAGTTTAACCCCTTTTCATGTAATTTCTTATGTGTCGAATCGTTTATTTGAGTTTTGCATTCAGAATGCTATTTCTCTCCTTTTCAGTAAATTAAAACCTACAGACAAAGATCGACGGCTCTCTGTAGAGGTCTGGGATTGGGATCGAACAACCAGGAATGATTTTATGGGCTCTCTTTCGTTTGGGGTGTCAGAGCTCATGAAAATGCCAGCCAGTGGATGGTAAGAGTTTCTGAAAAGAAAGTTTTAAAATAGTATTTTTCTTCAGCATAATTACTGTATCTTATATTAACTGAAAATACAACTAAAACTGGGAAACATGGGCTATAGATAGCAAAGGAGGATAATTAAAGGAAGCTTTCCTTTTGTTATGTTCATGAAGCTTCTGCTGGAGCCAGGAGTTGCTGCAAACTCATGGCCTTGTGATACACATTTTATTTTTATCTCAAATATGATATACTCATTATGAAGCATATCAGCTATGTATAGCAAGTTAAAGTACGTTTGAATAGGTTTTATATAATGCCATCTTATTACGTGCCAAACTACGGGTAGAACTCACCAGACCTTCTCAAACAGTATGACTTCTTGGAGAATGATTTAGGGCTATGGAAGCATTGGAGTCTTTTCAGGGTTGATTCTTACACCATGTCACAGGATGATTGGTACAAGGTCCTTGTCTTAAATGGACACATGGTTTGTGATTAAAGATACAGCTTTATTTGAAATATATTCTGTTTCTGTATCTCCTTTAGAACTCAGAATGTTGTTCTTTACGTACAAATGGCATTGATACAAACCAGACATAAACAGACATAACTCAGATTTTTTTATCTGAAAGGAGTAGAAGTATAAAAAGACCATTTTTTTTCTCAAATGTTCCACAGGTACAAGCTGCTGAATCAGGAAGAAGGTGAATATTATAATGTTCCAATTCCAGATGCTGATGAAGATGGAAATGCGGAGCTCAGGCAGAAGTTCGAGGTGAGGATTAAACCTACCTCTGTATTGCATTTATTTTCTAACCTTACAAAAAAAAAAAAAAAACAAACCAAACCAAACAAAAAAAACCAATGCCCAAACTGTTAAAAGTTTTAGTGTTATTAGTATCATAGAATCCAGCTTCTGTTGCTTGTGTCAGGACTATGACCTTTGGGTTTCCTGAAGGTTGCACTGAGGGGATTATTTCAGCAGTATTTCAGCATTGATCTGGCTGTTCTGCTCCTCTGTTATCCTCCTGCCCTTTGCCACACACAGTGGAGTGGTTGGTTGGCCACAAGCATGGCCTCACTGTGCCATGCAAAGGAGCTGTTTCCTAAGTAACAGACATAACCTGGCTCTTCTGACATCTGCAGTAATATCACTGCAAAATACTTGCTGCCCATTCAACCCAAGGAGAAGAAGGGCATGTTTTGAGGATGGAGGTGTTTTGCTGATGGTTGTACTTGATTCAGCTGATCTGGTCTGCTGAATATGCCATTATGAATTTAAATATTTCACTAATTAAGTTTAAAATTCCAATTAATGGCGATTTCTTTTGTTTCTAGTCAGACATTTCCAACGTTAGCCTAGCAGTTTGTCCAAAAAGTAATTCATGTACCTTTTGTGCTTAAACAAACGCTTCAGCCTGTTGCTTTCAACCTGAAATGGCCATTTTTTATGTTCACCATCAGGCAGAATTCTACATTGTTGTTATAAAGATGGGTTAACCCAAGAGAGTGAGGAAAAACGACACTTGTTCAGCTTTCAAGAAAATCAAAGAAAAGGTGCTTCAATTTCTTCTGGACACATTTGGATCAGCTAACATACTTTTGTCTGCAGCATGAACTATGATTTTTGTTTTACATTTGAGAAGTACTTTAACCTCCATTTCATTTTCCTTTCATTACAGTTGTGATCTGACCGGTGTGATTTTATTTTTAGGTCATTTTCTATTCAAAATCATATTTACCTCTGACCCTCCTTAGAAAGAATAACTTCAAAAGTAATTTGTTTCCCCACTTCTATGGCTCTGTGCATTATACAGAGTCTGGAATAGGGTGGACATGGATTTTAGTGGTAGAGGTATAAAATTATCTATCTTTTTCTTGGGACAGGAACAGCATGAAGACGAGTCACTAAAAATTTCTGTTGTAAAATGTCAGTTATTGTATGTGTTATGTTTGCATATTGTATTTATAGAGGTTTATTTTTTCACTTGAGCCTTCTATACACACATTGGTTGCAGCATGAATAGTCAGGGTTGATCACCAGCAGAGAACTGGTATAGAAACCCTGAGAGATTGCATCCTGCAAAACTGCCAGCCTAGCTCCCAGAAACAGCAGCTTCACATGGGGTCAGCTCTGTCTCAGAAATAATTAGTCTGTCTCAAAGTCTAATTAGTCCAGTTCCAGCACTGTGCATTTGAGGCTTTCTCTGTTCTGAAGGCAGCAAGGTTGAGGACATTTTAGTGGTCTGCATTAATCAGGGAAAGGGAATGGGTTTGCAGCAAACACGGTGTCTTTCACCATGCTAGAGCTGCATAATGAGCAGGTTTTAACCCTAATGCTGCTGTTTGTCAATATCTGTAGCTCAACAAAACTGTAGTTATAACTGGGCCAAGGCTACATGACATGGTATTGCACAGTGAAAGGATTTTAGTTTGACTACTTGCTCAAAGTCTATTGCTGTGAGCAGCACCCCCAAGTAATGCTCTTAGTTGGTTTCAGGGGGAATTACTGTCATAGCTTATAAAAAGTAACAGCCTGGATGTCTGAATGGTGGTATTTAATTTATTAGCTATTCTGATACGGTGCATAAGTGGTGCTGGCTCTTTTACATTATTTTTCTTATCGTTAAGACCTTGGCTTACATCGTCACTTTATTTTAAGTACCCTATGCTAAGGAACAAGTAGATGGCACTGAGAAGTTCTGTTTGTGATCTCATGGCATTTTCTAAATAAATATTTCCTCTACAATCAGTTCTGAACCTTTGCAGGAAGGCTCTTGGCAGCCATATTGCTGGGTGTTAGCAGGAAGATGAAAAATACCCATAGATCAAGAGAGGTCACACAGAGCTATCTTCATATTTACCAGTTCGGAGAGAAGAGTCATTTCAGAGTGCTTGCTAATCCAAGTCCCCATTTGCAGTGCTTGGTCCACTATTCAGCATGAGGCAGCATGATTGATAGCCAAGTGACGTTGATGTAATTTTGAGTACAAAATCACAACCATTTCTGTGGAAGTACCTCATTCCTAATACAAAATATTTCAGATGAGTAATGGAGAACCTTAAGATTTGGCCTTGGCTGTTGACACAATCTCATCCTGCCCTTCTGGACCCATTTTAACAACCCAGACTTCCTGCTGTAGGCACACATTGGTCTGCTTCCTCCCAGACCTCCTGACATGGAGCCATTTGTTCAGTGCAAATCTACCGTGAAATAGCTATACGAGATTAATAGTAATACTAATAAGAATAATAAGAAGAATGCTCAAAGCATTCTATTCACTTGCTTTTGTAATTGAAAGGTAAAGAAAAGGAGTTTCTGTGTGGCCCATCCTACCAGGTCTAAAGCAGCTGATAAGTAGCACTTGGCTCTTGGTTCTGCTGAACAAATGAGACCAAGTTCAGAAAAGGAGAATTGAGGAAGACAATGATTTCATTAATGGAATCATACAGTGACCTCATAATGATTTTTAGTTATTGCTACAAGGGTTTTCTTTCTGTATGCTGTCTACGCATTGTCCAGATGAAGCTGTACAGTATATTGCAGTTGAGGAATGCTATGCAAAGGCACAGTTTTTTTCTGTTTTTTAAATAATAGACATATTTTTGGATCTCTATCTCTGAAAGTTATGAATCAACTCTCCGTTCCCTTTGCACTGTGATCCAATTGAGTGATCTACAGATGATACATCATTATTAATACTTAGAGACAAAAATATTCTGCTGTGGGAAGGGGAGGCAGGGTGAAATCTGTCACTGTTTTTCATTGGGCTTTAACCTTTGGGTGTGGATTTTCTCCCCAGAACGGCACTATTGGTGGCCATCTCCAGACGGAGCTGGGTTCTCAGCAGGCACACTGAGGATAATTGTGGCTGCTCCATAATTGTTCGGGCTGAGGTTGCCACGGCAACTCACGATGGTCCCAGGTGGCTGCATGAACCCAAACGAGCAGGGCTTTTCACTGCAGTATCTACTAGTTGTTGCATACTTCTTTCCTGTTTCTGTATTTTGCTATCCAAAGGAAAGCACCCGGTACTCCGATGACACGTTATTGTCATTCTAATACCCGGCTGCAATTAGAGCAGTAATATGTTTTTTATTTGAGGAAAAGAAACGAGCAAATTCTAAACTTGAATTGTAAGAAGTTATTTTTATTTTCTCCAGCCCCGTTTCCTGTAATTTGCTACTTAATATAGCACTTCTAGATACTTCAGTATAACCTTAGAAGAATAATAGAAAAATACTGGCTTAATGTGCTGGTTAATTATTCTATCTGTCCTCTTCTTTATGCAGCACCATCACGGAAAATGTTATTAAAAATAAAGCAGCTGCTGCGGTTCGTATCAATATTCATTTTTTAATTAAAAAAGAAACGGGTAGCTATTATCCTTACACGTGGATATGTCTCCCAAGTGTAAGTGATGTGAGCAGTCAGCTCTGGTGATTGGTGGGATTCAGGCAGCTTGTTGCAACGAGGAGCTCAGTTCTCCCAGAGCCCTCGTTTAGAGCAGCTCAGGGGAGGGTAAATAAGGGTCCTCTTTTTGCATATTTGTAAGATGATGGATGTTTTCCTTTGCTCTCACCATGTGCTTTAGAATCACAGAATCATTAAGGTTGGAAAAGACCTCTGAGATCCCCAAGCCCAACCCCAGCTCATCCCCGCTGTGCCCACCAACCGTGTCCATCAGTGCCACATCCCTGCTGTTCTGGAACACCTCCAGGGATGGTGACTCCTCAACAATCTGGGCAACCTGTGCCAGCGCATCACTGCTCTCTTAGAGGAGAAATACCCAGTCTGCCCTCTCTAGAATTGACCCGAGTGCTGGATGGGTCACCCAGGAGCACTGTTCCATTGCTGTTTTGCTGCCATGGGGCTGGGCAACCTATGCTGTCAGTGCTGGTCTCAGATTGTCATTACTGCTGTGTGCTGGGGTTGGTGAGGAGCACTGCCCACAGGCTACAGCTGTGCTGTTCTTCTGCAGACTGAGGAGGCTGAGACACAATGAGAGAGGAAACAGTTCAGACGAGGTAGATATTGTAGCTGAAAGCTGGAAACGTACCATCAGTGGTGACATTTGGGTGACATCTCAGCACTTCTAAACGTAACTGGTATTACGATGCTTAAGGAAATGTCTCTTTGAACGTCTTACCATTTTAATTAGAGGAACAGTGCAACCATTGGGCTTGGCTGTGAATACCCAGCCCTTCTCCAGTGCTGCAGAGCTGTGTGCTGACCTGCAGTGCAGGGCAGTGTTTTGTTTGCCCAGCCTTCTCTGGTAATCTTTGTGGGAGTGTAAGTGTGCAGGCTTGAATTGATGACCACACAGCCCATCTTATCTGTGCCACGATAACAGCTGAGGTTAAACACCATTTGACAACACGACTGCAGATTTTGAGGTGCAATTACAGCCTTCTGATTGTTTTCAGTGTTGTTTGGAGTCTGGTGCTAAAGACTCATGTATTTGTCGTTCCCTTTCTGAGCACCATCAGTAAATCAGTTCAGCTGGTTTCACTGCAAGCTCTGTGTTTCTTAGATCTCTCGCACTCCCTTTCGGTTTCTTTTTTTCAGGCAGCTTCTGGCTGTACTGCTATTAAGGAGGAGACAGTCACTTTCTGCATTACTCTGGCATTTTTCTGATGTTCACCACAGCCTGATGTCAAAAGGGCATTTTCTTCCTCTCCTTTAATCAGGAGCAGGGACTTGCTGGCACAGTATGTGTTCAGAGCTGTGGGCTGTGCGTGATCCTCAGAGCCAGTGAGTTTCCCAATTAAATG